CATTGAACTATGCAGTGCTGGCTCATCTCAGCTCAATAAACACATCATGATCGTAGGCTGAGATCAATAGTCCACCAATTTACAGTTTTTTACATTCTCAGTGATAATCAGGAATTCCAAACGGAGCGGAGTTCAACATGTGAAACCTTCCCCTGTACAGGATCCCTGAGGGCTCTGCTACCGTACACTGATTTCTGATCACACAACAGAGAGTAGGCTATTGTGTTGCAAATTTGTTATGAGCCAACAAAAGGTTTGTGTTAAAGCAAAACTCTAGTTAAAACTTCATTTCTCTTCCTGTACAGGTATCTAGGACGTGGACGGGAAGTAAGCAAGGGGATATAGACAGCTATCAAATACAGACAGATGTTCTAAACCTTCCACACGCTACTAGGAAATTTGTTTTTATTTCTGCCTGGGGATTTCCTTTTACTTCCTGTTTTGTCCGACACCTATCAAATAGACTGGAAGTGTGAATATTTTCTGTGACTTGCTATTCTGACAGGAAGTGACCCAAATGGGGGCTCAGAAAAGATTCATAGGGGTGTACAAAAGTATTTAGGTCACCAAATACTTTAAGCCAACAGGTCCTGGCCAGAGAAGACAGCATATAATTAGCTCTAGTGTCCCATTTCTTTCCTGCCTTCCCCTCATTCCAACGCTGCAGTCTCAGAAAGAGTCTTTGACATTCAGAACTTCTGGATGTGATGGATGCCTGTGTCCCCTGTAGCATGCCAATTCCTTTCTCTGACCCCCTATGTCCTGCAATAACATGGGGGGATGAAAAGGATAAAGAATAGCAGGGGTGGGGGGGGGACGGGACACAGGCAGGCACTCCAAGAAGTGTTGAGTGCAGAAGAGGTTTTCCAAGGTTAAAGCGCTGATACGGAGGAGAAGTAGAAGAAACAGGCCACCGAAGCAGTGAGTATACTGTACTTCTATGGCAGGGACCAGCTGGCTTAAAATATTTAAGCTGACCACAGACATTAAGAGCTGAACAAGAAACCTATAATGAAGTGGTTACCCATCTGCCACTTGCTTGCACACACTCACACTTTCTGATGCCTGCACATAGAAAACTTGAACGAACAAACCCCACGAGGCCTCAAACCTGGGGAACTGTAATATGCAAATATGAACTAAGGAGCTGGATCTTTGTCCCACTCCTCCGACCTCCAACACCTCACTCTTGGCCCTTTACTGTGATTGGGGGCCTCACTGAACAATAGTTAGAATGAGAAGGAGAGTGGACGGGGCAAAGTATCAACCTCCTTGGTTAAGCTCGTATTTAATACAGCAATGCATAACAGCAGATGACAAATGGCAGTTTCACTCCAGGCACACATTAAACAATCAGCAATTTAGGCTATGCACTCACAGATGTTCAAACCAGGCAGCCAATCATGAGCCGACAACCCTGAGGGTGCATTTGCACCCTGCATTCTGGGGTATGGTGGGGTGGAAGATGACTGATAACACATGTAAAACATACCTAAAAGCACATCACTAAAGGAGAACTATGAGGCGAGTGCTTTTCACTCACCTCATAGTTCTAGCCGACCTGTGACAATGAGACTGTCACAGGTCGGCTTAGTAGATCACACATACCGCCGTTCGCTCGCCTCTCGATCCTGTCACAGCTCTCTGCCGTGACAGGGGAGGGGCTGGATTCCCCCCTCACCGCTCCGATCCGCCAGCGCTGACTGGCGGAACGGACGGGGGAGGGTACAGCTGGCTCTGCCTCTAGATAGGCAGAGCCAGCTGTCACTCACGCAGCTGGGCGGATCCAGACATTGTTTACAGATGTTAACAGAAATGTATCTTATTTGTGTATCACTCGTGTGTAGATCCTCAAATCATCTCTGAATTGGTGCTGACACTGTCCTTCCTTCTGGAGGGGGGCTACTTTTGTTCCCCATGGTCCCTTTGGGTGTTGTAAAGTAGTTACCGCTCCAAGCTCACTCCTGTGATGGACTACAATCTCATGCTTAGTTCACTAATTTGTATTGAGATTGTAGTCAATCCCGGGAGCAAGCTTGGAGCGGTGACTACTTTACAACACACACAGGGACCATAGGGAGCAAAAGTAGCCCCCCTCCAGAAGGAAGGACAGTGTCAGCACCAATTCAGAGATGATTTGAGGATCTACAGCCCAGTGACACACAGATAAGATACATTTCTGTTCATAGTTAATATAGTTGAATGCATTTTTAAGATTTAACTCCTGAGTTTAGTGCCCCACAAAAACATATATAATGTAAAACTGGCCATACACCTTACAAACTGACTGACTGTACAATCTACCAACCACTATACAGATCAGATATAAACTCGATGGATTGTTTCCCTACACCTCTGCTCTATATAGGTTCTTGTACATATAAAAGGAGATTGCATGATTAGATTTTATTATATGTGGGGCCAGCTTAAAAACACATAGCATAAATTGTTTGTCTAAGAAGCAGAGAATGATACAAAGTCATCTCAAGCTTTTGACAGTTGTTATAAGCCTGATGGGTGCCGTGCCTGGACCGCTCGCTAGGATTTCCACCATACTTTACAACTATTACAGGCTTCATTCTCTTACAACATAGTTCACCGTGTGCCGGAAAACTGGCTAAATCTGATGAAAGCCTAGGGAGCGTCTGGAAAGATCTGCTCCCCTCTGCCAGCACAGCAGAATTTCAGGGCGTAGACCTTTGACAGCACTGCAAGAGTGCCCTCTGCTGGCTGAAGTGTTGAAACGTGGCTCCGATAGCACACGCAGCACAGGCTCCAATCGGATGCTATCCTCACCATGGGGGTTGGCTGTTACTAGTAAATGGTCACACTAACAAACCATTGTATATAGGGGAAGAAATATCCATTCATCCAAGTCATGCAATACTGGTATAAGCCAGCAAACAGGAAGTTGGTGACTTTTTCTGACAAACCCATGTTGATTTTGCATAGGTCACTCATGGAACAAACAGATACTTTCAAAATAGTAAAAATACAAAATAAAATCTCTAAAAACACATAAAAACAACATATTGCATTGGTGACAGGATTCTGAAAGGAGTAAATCGATTTTGCCCCAGTTGCTGAGGAGCTCAGACTCCCAGCATGCCAAGCAACTGTAGTGCAACCAATTTTCCAGAAGTGGTTTAACTCTTTTGCTGCCAGAGACATTTCTGCACATCTATTAGCTAGGCCATTTTTTTGGATAATCCCCGAGTAATCCCACACCACCTGCGATGCCCTTAGACTCTAGACTAGAACGCTTATCAAACCTGTGGCCCATCAATGGGGACAGAAGCAATAATGTTTTGGTGTACATGCTTCCTTCCTCTGACATTCACTGGTATCTTTCTTCCTAAAATGGCAGACATCAACGATATCAGCTGCAAAGAGGCTTTGATCACTCAGGGATCCAGGTTATTGCAGTGCTATCTTTTAACAAGTTAGATTGTCACTGAAGCATCCCACATGGGCACCATAAAAGATCACTGTGGCACAGTTAGGTGGCCCATTTCCAAATATGTAGGGGGACCCTCTGAGCCGGATCAGCCAGGACACAGAAGTCAAGGGTTTCCAGCAAACTTAAAGAGGTGTGTCAATGATGTGTACGACCAATGAAACCTGAATGAAAAGTTCTATTCAAACAAAAATTCAGTATTGTAAGCTCTCATGGGCAGGGCTCTCCTTATCTTGTCTTGATTTGTACTGTAGTCTTTCTTATATTGTAAAGAGATGTGCAAACTGGCTCTATAGAAATCCCGTATTATAATAATAATATTTTGCTCACCTTGCAGCATCCTGATCAAACATCCCCATGCTAATACAGATCTCAGAAGAATGGAGACCCTGCTGTCTGGCCTTCCCAAGGCAGGGCAGTCTTTATGCCCTCTCTGGCGTCATTTGAAATAGTCACGCTCGCTCTAGACCTTGTCATGGAAAATAGGGATCTTGCCCATTTCCAAGCTCAGCACATTAAGGCAGGCAGCATGATCAAACATTATGATCAAACTCTGTAAACATGGTTTCATTTCAACAAGATACCAGAGAAGATTTAAATGCTGCCCAGCCCTGGGTAGGTCACAGAGGTGGGATCTACAAATGGGTAGGCGCAAATGGGAATATGCATTAGGGATGCACCGATACTAGTATCGATATCGGTGCCGATACCGAGTATTTGGCCGAGTACTCGTACTCGCACAAATGCTCCAATGCCTAGCCCGATACTTCCTGTATCAGGAAGCCGGGCAGCATGTCATTACACGCTGCCCGGTTTCCTGATTGGCCGGGAAGCGGCTCCATGCTCTCTAGTCACTTGTGATGAGAGAGCATGGAGCCGACTTCCCGGCCAATCAGGAAGCCGGGCAGCGTGTAACTACGCAGCGCCTGGCATTCTGATTGGCCGGGAAGCTGCCTTCATGCTCCTTCGTCAACTCATGATGGAGCATGGAGCCGGCCTCCCGGCCAATCAGAAAGCAGGGCGTTGCGTCATTACACGGCGGCCGGCCAGACGGCTCCGGCTGGGTATCGGGGGAAGGCCGCGTTCTGGCTGGAGAGGCCCCGGGGGTGACAGACTGGACATGCCAAGGTAAGAGGGGACAGACTTTCTTGTTAATCGAGAAGTCGGGTGGCGAGTCTTTACACGCAGCCTGGCTTCCCGCCTAATCAGGAAGCCAGGTGGCGAGTCATTACACGACACCTGGCTTCCTGAATGGGACTTCCGTTACTCGGTAATTGGTATTGGCGAGTAGCGAAAAAATTTATCGTGTACCAAAATACTGGTATCGGTGCATCCCTAAGATGCATGAAGGAACAACTTCTGTTGCTGAAAGTTCCAGAAGTCTTCCTCTCAAACACTACAAATATAAAAAGGAGGATGTGATTGATTGGTATAGACAACACACACAGTTGTCTTTACTGACAGTTTTTACATCAGATCCAATCTTCCCTCCACAATATTAGAAAACAAAAACTTTGTTTCATTACTGGCAGCTGAAAAAAACAACAAATGCTGAATGCCCAAAACACAATGCAACTGTGAAAAACAGATTCTAGTCCCTGAAATGACAAGAAGAAGGCCTCAATCTGCTCCATAAGGAGACTATCAAGCAAGCAAACAAGAAGTGCTTCTGTACACAGTGATAATACAAGGAGACCTGCGTGAAAGACAAGGAGACAGCTGTTGTAGGCACCATAAGGAGGAGAACAAGGGTGTAAGACATATGTAGGATGAGGATACGGATACAGAGGAATTGATTGACTTTCAAGAGTTAGCACATGCGTCCAGGTTTCTTCTGCATACTCTAGAAAAAGAAAAGATTATATTCGATCAACGGCATGTAAAATAATTTAGACTCTTAAATAAATACTAAGCCCCCAGTGACATTTATAGCCATGTGTGGAAAAAGTTTGCACTCCTGCATAGAAAGCAAGATTTGGCCAAGTCATCCTCATCATTATGGGATGAGCTATGGGTTCGGGTCGACCATGGATTTACTCCGACCGAATGAAATGGACAGATTTGGCCAATTCACCCACCTGCCAGAACCCTCGGCAATATGCTTGGGGCTCACAGATTTTACATTCAGTTCGATGTACGTCCAAGCAAAGTAAACTTCCGCTCGCTCATCCCAAAATATGCGGAATAATTAAGTTGCATATCAGATGTTCTGGCTGATCAGTGCAAGAAAAAGGATGGCAGCCCATGAACCTATACCTCTGAGCACATTTTTTTGAAATCTTAAAGGAAACCTATTATAATAGAACAGTGGTGCCTACCATTGCGGAGTTCCTCCTAAAAATGCTAGCTACCTGGCAGTCATAATAATCCTCTGGCCTTATTTTGTTCAAAGTCAGGGAATCAAAACAAAAATGTAGCCAGTGGACTCCTGATCTGAATAGTTGTCCGGGGTCAGCGAGAATTTTTTTTTGAAGAGACAGGATGATCAGCGTGACAGTCCAGAAACTAATGTTTTTAGCAGGAGAGGTCAGCAATGGCAGTCTCCATATTAGTCTAAGGACAAGCTTCCTATGTCTCAAAATGATATGTCTGGTTATTCAAGCTATTTAGCCATAGATGTGATGTCACACAGCGGTTGACATTACCAGAGTCCCCGATAACAATACCAGAGTCCCTGATAAAACTACAGATCCGCTGATCTTGTCTTCAAAGCAATGACTTATGGGAACCACTAACCTGATTGATGCTGATGCCGGTCAGTTTCTCCACTGTCTCTGGCAAGCGGCTTAGTATATCCAGTACTTCTCCTGTAATCCTGGCGGCTCCGACTTCACCTCCGCCGCTGGATACCAGTTTAATCTTTTTCACTTGGGTTAGAGGTTTGCTGATCTCATCCACAATCTGGAAGACAAATAGCAACGTCACCAAATGCATAGCATTGCCAATTCATATGTCCTGCCTTGCAAAAAACAAATCGAACAAAAGAAGGCATGCTGGGCTTTAAAAAAACTCTAGTCAGAACAAAAACTTCTCTTAAAAGTAGAACAATGGACAAAATAACAAATGCCAATAATGATAAAGTTTGTCACTGGTAATAACACAACAGTCTTTGTTTTCCGGTTTACCCCATAAACGGCAATAACCCAATACTTAACCACTGCCCCCATTACCCCTTGCCAAGCTGCAAATATTGCCCTTCACTTCCCTGTAGTTCCGTTCAGCCCAGGAGCAAAGTAATTTACCTGGTACTTTCAGGAACACAGAGCACCTGACTCATTCCCCTTTATAAAATGCGTCGGTGGGTGTGTGGGCAACCAATCAGCAGACACAGACACTGTCCATCCATGTGTAAGCTCTGGCTAGGGCAAAATGCAGCTTGCACAGAGCTTCATCTTTTTACATCCACGAGCAATCAGGGCGGCAGGGAAATGAAGCAAAGGTGAGTATATGCAGCAGGAGGACAGCATTTAGTGAACCTGTTGGTTTGTCCTACATGGGTATTTCAATGGAAGCAGAGATGCATGCAGACACTGTCTTTGGAAAAAACAACAATCGTCAAACTAGATTTTCTTCCCTATCCCAATCTCAACGCCCAGCCCCACCCCTGCCCAAGGATTTTTTTAAAACAGCAAGGAAAAATTGAGATATGTCAATGTGTAATATTAAAATGACTGATGGAAACTGGGAGGTACCAGTGGTAGGTGGTCAAGCTTCTAAAACAGGCAGGAGGTCTCCTGTATAGTACAACAGGAAAAAAATGCAAGAGGAGCACTAAAACCTGACACAATGATCTGGTAATAGGAATTGGATACATGGCAAATAGTAGCTAAAGCTTAAAGTAGTATTAAGGTCTGGGCGTTTTTTACCTTAATGCATTCTCTGCATTACGATAAAAACAGCCCAGCACCTTTTTTCTACCCCAGTACCCCCCACACTTACCTGTCAGCTGCGCTCGACCCTGGCGCCGGTCCCGAAGCGATCCTCAGTACCCTGAACTTCCGGGTTGCGGGGGAGGATACTGGTGGCAGAGGAGCCATAGGCTCCTTCCGCCATCAAAGAGAGAAGGGGCGTGGCCTGCCACATGGCT